TTTATAATTTTCATTAAAATTTTTTACAAAAAAAGGTATGGAATCATCTAAGAAGACCAACAGCCGTTTTAGTTTGTATTGCTGCACAATTTTTTCTTGTACCATTTATCGGTTATTTAATTATAACATTATTAGAATTAGAAGTTTTACATTCAACCGGATTATTAATATTGGCATGTTGTCCAGGTAGGTTATTGTTTTGTTTTGTTTTTGGATTTTTCATTTAGTTTCCAGATAAAATTTCAAATTGAATACAAGAAAACAAAAACAAAAAAACAGATAGATTAATTATGTGATATATCCACGTGATAATTCAATGACGTTTCCCCCCCCCCAACAAATCAAATAAGTATCGGTCGATAGTAATGATAATTTTTCATGGTTCATGGTCTATCCAATATCCTATATGTATATTTCTAGTTATTTTTTTTTTGTTTTCCCGAAAATCTAATTCGATATTAATATAAATGAATGAAAAAAAAATAAACCTTGACGATTTACGTATATGAAATACATATTTATATTTATAATAGTAATTTATAAAAGTTGATTGCATTTGTTTGTCTAAAATCAAAATCATAATGATGATGATGATGATGATGATGATAATGAAAAACTTTTTCAAAAAAAATTCATAATTAATATTATCATGATAATAATAGCCATTTTTAAACTTCATAATTAAACAATGGTCATTCCATATTGATTGATTGATTGGATTGGATTGATGACAATGATAATGGTTTGATTTAAAAAAACAACAACAAACATTTTTTTTTTTGGTTATCGTTTTGTTTCATTTACAAAAAAAAAACAAAGAAATCATAAATGTTACGCTTGTTTGCCTTTACAAACCTTGATTTATTGATGATGGATTTTTCTTTCCACCATAATCATTCAGTGTCACATTAATAATAATCAAAATATTCCGGCCAAATTTACAACATAAACAATAAAGAATCTTAGAAAATCGGGTTTTGATTTTTTTTTTTTTTTTTTGAAATTTTTTCAACAAATTAGAATGATAGGGGTTTCACACTAGCAGCAATGTGAAAG